CCCGCCGCCGCCGCCGCGACGACGACCAGCGCAAACGCCGCGCCGCCACCGCCGCCGCACGCGCCGCTGGCATGGCTCGCCGCTCTCCCGCGCTCGCTCCGGTCGGCGTCCGCAGCCGCACTGGCGCCGCGCCCGCGCCCGACGCCCGCCCGCCCCCCCGCCCCGCGACGCCACGCCCCGCGCCTGCGCCGCGCCCCCGCGCGCGCCGAGCCCGTGCGCGCCGCCCGCAAATGACATCACGTGCGCGGTGTTTGCTCCGCGGCGGCGACACGCCTCACAAATTCCTCCCCCGCTCCCGATTCTGACGTGGGCTTTTACTCACTTAACCAAGTATTGTCATCGAGTGAAAATTATTTTATTTCTTAAGTGATTCTAGAAACGTACGATTGAGGCGCACAGCATAAGAACGGCAGATCCTAACCGACCTCGCATTTTTACTTAGAAGTAGACTGGAAATACCAAATTCATACCTATCATATGCTGAAATATGAAATGAATTGGAATATAGCAAAACCCTCAAATTCCACCTTCAAAAACTTGACCGGCGTGTAAGCGAACGAAAACGAAATCAGAATGTAATTTTTCTCAAAACGAACTTCGGTTGAGATCTGCCTTTATTATTCTGAGCGCATCCATTGTTACTAGTGTTTATAGAAATGTTAGTGTTGGGGGTTAGTGCACATGAATTGGGGAAGCCCTGATATGCAACATGGGCCGGTTAAGCGGTAACGAGACAATCATCTTGTCAAAGTATATTTTACTGTCTGTTATTGCTTTGCAAGAAAATTACGAGTTCAATTTAAACAGAATTATCACGTACCACTGTTCGTTCGACATATACTGCGATGAATATTCAATACGATCATTAAGCGCTGGTAACTTCGTTTCATTTACTTCGCAATTCATGTGTAGGCGTTTCCAATTTGTTACGTTATGTATTGTCAAAAATTATAATTTCAAACCCGTTCTAGTTCCAACGCTAACTCTAATAAATGGTAATACTATATTTTATAGACGAAAAAATTAGATGCCTCAGGACTTCGTCTTACTTCCCATCTTGTCGTTGAAACTCCTGGCAGCTAATATGATAACCCGCCCAAATGACTCCACAAAAACTCCCCACCTAGACATTTCTCTCTTCTATCCCTCTCAAACAATTTCCCTCTTCTACTCTTACGTTATACTATTCATATGAAACATGCAGTAAGTATTAAAGGTAAAATTTAATCCTTTTTAAATGGAAATGTTTTGAAACGTCTCGGTTACCCAGAACTTTCTATATGTACCTGTCTATTTTATAACTCCTTTCCATAAGACTGATTTTTGCCTGTTTGCCAAACAGACGCTTCCATTTTATCAGCAACGATGTAATCCTTGAAATCTTTGAGCGCGAGAACTTCACATGAAACTCTCTTCATTCTCAACAACCCTTTCTCAGTAATACTCGCTGTAAAACGTTCAATTTACTTTTGGAATCTTCTAAGTTTTCGTCTTTACCCTTCCTCTACCTCAGTCGTCCTTCTATTGATTAACGTCAAGTGCACTTATATCAGGAATTGAATGTATCACCTCTCCAATTCATTTTTATTTTTGTCATTTTAGTAAGTTACACTTGTTCTTTTGCTCTGAGTATTCGTATGGTGATTCGCATTTGTCTGTTGAAAACTGCATGCAAGCCGTCGTGGAAACCAAAACTAGTTGAAATACAATGCGTCTAGTCCACAACAGCTTCAGTAAATACCTTTCACGCATGGCGAGCAACAATAAAACAACAAGCTTCCCTTATCACGTGTTCACGCAGTCTAATAACAGCCGCTTGGTTTTCATATTGCATTACATTGGGTTTTCCTCTGAATACAAGGAAGATGTCACCAATGTTTTAGAGCTTCCTAATTCGCTCTAAAAAGAAATGCTTCTTTTAGCTAGGTTCATTTTGTTGGACATTTTACTGGACAAATATAAAAAGTAAGAAAGCTTGTTAATTTGGATTAAACTTTATCTTATGGAAACTTAACAAAATTGTTTGCTCCTTCCCTGGCTCAAAACACCGACTGGATGCACTCGGACTAAGCCTTCTGAGAAAGACAAAAATTAAAAGGGATGAAACTGGGAAGCGGGTACGAGGAAAATCTGACGAAATGTAATCGGCTGTTTCTAGACGGACAGACAGGAGGCCAGAAGGAGAGCAGGACGGATACATAAAGGAACGGAAAGACTGACGGATAGGCGGACGACGGACGGACGGACGGACAGACAGATAGACGGGCGAGCGGACGGACGGACGGACGGACGGACGGACGGACGTGGCGCGGGCGGGCGGGCGGGCGGGCGGGCGGACCAGTACGGTGGAATACTGGACGGACGGACTGATGGATAATCAAGCAGTCGCATAGACGACGTATAGAGGAAACGAATATAGATGGTCTGATGAACTTTTGACACACATTTTTTCGACCTCTGCAATTTTCCAAAACATGAATTCCCGTTCAAATTGTAGGCCTATTTTTTTAGCATTACGCAACATTCTCTATATTTTGCATATGTGGAAGTAAAAACGGTGTGGCAGCGACAACTGTCGCACTTCTCTAAACCAAGCAACTCTGACAACTTAAGCGTGTTCTAAACTTAGGAGTCAGGGTTCGCCGCCGCCTAATTAGCCGGCCGGAGTCCTCGCCGGCTGCCCACGAGCCCCGTGCCCTGGCATACCCAAGTGCCGGCGAAGGCCCCAACCGCCCGGACTTGGCACGCAAATGGCGTCACGTTCCCCTAGCCCCATCCGCCCAGCTCTCGAGGGCCTTCCCCACGGACGTCCTGACCAGGTAGGCCGTACCCAGGGATTTCTTCCGCCAATTTTTTTTGTTTTTTTTGTTTTTGTTTTTTTGTTTTGTTTTTGTTTTTTTGTTTTGCAAAATGAAGTAAATGTTTGTTAAGTAAATTTGTTCAAAGAATTGGTTGCCCCGATTTTAATTTAATTATTAAAATGTATTGTTACTCAGTAACATGGTCGCAATTTCGATTTCTTTACGACTGCGGAACATATTCTCCGAGCGTAACTACGTCCAATAAGGTAACGGGAAGGTGACAATTATGTATAAATGTTTGCTGCTGTTGTTGTTTTTTCTACAATGAAATCGACTGCACAATTTTGCAGGGCAATTGAGGTATTCAGTAAGTTATTCGTTGGTTCTGAAAATTTGAATCTATGGAACTGAACCTATTAAACCAATTAATGTCACAATTAAATTAAAATGAGGACTAAACATTTATAAAGCATATTAATAACTATAATTGTGGGTACGCGCATATTAATATGTAATGAAAAAAACATGTGTCCAAATCCGATTGAATTAAATTTTTGAAGAGAGTAACGGGAATCTATTGTCACGCCGGCTTTTAAAGAATCCAGTTTCAAATCGACAAATTAAAGGACATATTCAAACTCTCAGAATTGCTTTGTTACGATTGACCAGTGAAATCAGAAAGCCATTGAATAATCTCATTCAATATATGAATGGTGCTTAAGTATATTGCCTGTATTTCTGGCGGCAAACGTCGATACCAAGGGATGGCAGCGTAACCAAAGAGATCCATAGTGAGTAATTTATTTCAAAGCAGTAGGAAATTATTCTTGTTGTAGCATGTATGAAAAATTAAAGTGGGAAATGGCACCCATTTCACATAAATATTGCATTAATTTCAACCTATTGAAACCAACTAATCCATATTAGTTATGCGTGTGTATGTATTAGCACATTCACATCCACTCAGTCATTAAAGTACGAGCACTTTTTCGTTTCAAGGGCCTTCAAAATGGATTTAAAAAAACAAAGTTGCCATCGGTCCAAATTGGAATATCGGTTGTTTAGTTGCCGGAGTAAAAGAAATGCACTGATGATGATGATAATGATGATAATGATAATGATAATAATAATAATAATAATAATAATAATAATAATAATAATAATAATAATAATAAAACTTGAATAAGTATTTATTAGAAATAATATTAATACATTCAATGTAGACAATGAAGAAGAATACCGTAATTGACTTTGGTGAAAGAAATTAATACTTTCTCGGAAAAAATTAACCGTTTATAAATGTATTTAATGTATTCCACACCTCATTCTAATTATGACAGGATATGCATAAATAATGCACAGACAAAATCGGTACAGATATAATGTACAGAGATCATTAAGTAGTGCCATCTTCTAATCAATAAGAACTTTTAAAGAATTTGCTGTCATAAAAAGGCGAAAATCAATGTGGTCTCTAGTAAACTTTATTTTCATCTTGGAAATGTATTCATAAATATCCTTAATTCTCGGCTTCACATTCGAATACTCTAAGTGAATCTATAATCTCCATGCCAGTCATTGGATCACACCTTGACTTTTTATTGCACGATGTCTTAGAAAACCAGCTCGATCTACGTAAATCAGGGCAACTTTAGCATTAGAATGCGTATTTTAAAATTAATGAAGTACATGTGTTACGTAAGGAATAACAGTTGCAATTATTTAACCACACTACATATAGGAGCTTACGACATTCAGAACAGACATTTTAAGATACACTACTACCACTGATCAGACTGATCTTGCTCGCTAAGATTACTGCTATTCACTGATAATTCACTAATAAATCCACGGCAGTGCTTTCAAGCACTTGTACTATGATTTCATCTGGCCGTCAACTGTCTTTCCACAATTCACACTACCAGATATTAGTACTGTGCTAAGCATTTATTGATGAAAAACTGTCAATGTGTTTTCTACGGGGCGTATTAAAAATGCAGTAAAGGGGCACAAAAGGTATTTACAAATTGAGCCCCATTTTGTTTTTACTGTAAAAATAAAGGATACATTTTGTAATAAGGCTACGTTTGCAAAAGGATATTAGTTTTGCAGACATAAAATTGCATTAAAAAGCAGTAATAAGTAATTATGTGACTCAAAAAACTATTGCTTTTGTATTTTAACATTACTCATACTCACCTGGTATTCTGTTGCTTGTTCACGAATAGTCAGGTACTGATGCCCGCCGAGCAGCAATTCATCCTCTGGAATATAAAACATGGCATCAGGAAAGCAAATATCGCCATCATTAACTCAGTATTAAATAATGAGATTCTGTAATAGTTAACTCAAATACCTTTATGTTTCTCAGAAGACGGTTTTTAAGAAAGTAATATTTTTCCCCAAATACATTTGAACATGCTCTAATTTTTTCACTGTAGACATGTCTCGCGAATTTATACATATGTTGATAAATAATTTATTTAAAAAATATTATGTGCAAATATATTAGTCACTGAGCCCCTAATGCTTTTTTGAGATGTTTATTTGCCAGTCCTTGTAACGACTACCACAAACGATTTTGTTAAAAATGTTAGCGGTTGAGGTAGAAGTTGATTCACTGGCACGAAACAGAGAAAGCACCGAAAAATTGTAATAATGTTGCGTAGTACAATGTAATGTGATGCAATTTCGTGGGAAAAATAATATGATGTAATTTGCAACAATAATTAAGTACTATGAGGAAATAAGGTAATTTGAAAACGAAAAAACGAATTTGAAAATAATGAAGCAATTCTACACAAATCACAAATAGATTAATCGAAAAATTCAGAAACACTAATTACAATTATTAAATTTTGTTTGTATGTTTTCGAACATCAATATACGAGACAACTTACATTTGATGTCGACATCACCATGCTACGTTCAACTTAAATACCCTCACTGCGTTTAATACAGTGCAGAACTCATATCAATTTCAAAGGATGTTATCAGGGGGAGGGGTAAGAGGAATATTTGTGCGTGTTATCTGTGCTGTTATTTTATACTGTTTTGTAGACTGTTGTTTTCGTTTAATACTATGCCTTACAATGTAGTTTACTTTATTAATAAGATAGAATAAGTTAGAATGTAGTTACTTTATTAATAAGATTAGGGAAAATTTCTAATTTCAGAACGAACAGTACACGGAGGCATCTTGGCAATAGCTACATCACAAAAGAAAACAAAGCAACCTACTTGCAAGCGGATATGTGTCAAAACTGTAATAATTAATAAGCACATTGACGATATCCTCTAAATTATTGTAAATGCTCTTTGTTCTTGCACTTCCGAATTTAATGTCTGCCAATAATGTCGCCAGAGGCCATAAAGCTAGCATCAGATGCGATAATTTCAACTATTCATAAATCAATGCACAAATGAATCAACAAAACAAAACCTAACAGATTGTTTATCCTGTCGTCGTTTAAAGCTCGCGAAGCGCTATCGAAAACTAAACTGAAATAATAATAATAATAATAATAATAATTATAATTATAATAATAATCGAAATAAGAAATATACACTGTTGTAAATCTTAAAATAACCTCATACGCACTGTCAAAGTTCGAAATTTTAGAAAACGCCAATCAGAGAAAATAGCATACAGAATAATGCAATAAATTAAAAAATTATGGAATGGGAGTGTGAGAGCAGGATTGGGAAATACGCAAAAACAAAGCAAGTCGAGTACGCAACGGGTTCATGAGATAAACAGCGGCCGGTTACCGTTCAATTGTCAATAGATCAAGTGCAGAAGCGTCAATGTATCAAGTGCAAGACGACAGAGTAGATTGTTAATATGAGGATGGATGATAGAGTAGCAGTACCCGCTGACGGGTACCAATCGCGGACAACAACATTGTGTTGTCAACTGGGACCGACATATCGAGCAACTGTGCGCAAACATGTTACAGGAGTTTACGATATTCATGCAGAGGAGTTGCTACAAGTGATACAACAGGTTGAGCATTCGTGGAATACTATATCGTCAATATTTTCATGGTTAATGTGAACCTATGAGACGAACTGAACGTTCCTGCTTGTCTTGTTCGTTTACCTTGGCTTGCGGAATACAGGATATCCGGATGTTGATCCTCACGTCGTTGGCTCTGTACCAGAACGGCTTTTATAACATCATAATAGCAATGAAAGTATTGACGCGTGTTTACCCGTTATACTTACAAGGGGAAAATGTTACTCAGACGGCGAAAAAGCAGTGCTCCTAAACTGTGTCGCATCATAGTTCGTCATAATGGCTGTTTGCGATAGAATTGCGATGTATCTACTGAGTAATAAATGTATTCATTGTACCCTTGTGTAAACATTGTAGTGAATTAACCTCTTCAAATTATAAGTGAAGTTGTGAATATTCGCTCACTGAAACATCAAGACGATTCCTTTTATGACGAACTATTAGTTATAGAATATAAGTCGTATGCAATATGTGTTAAATTACGCCAACCATGTTACATATTCACCTCAAGTCAGAGAGTGGACCGTGAAACCCTGAAGCTTCAAACACACACTTTCGAGGAAAAGCACGTGTTTCTCCCTCTAGGTGCATAATCTCCTATTTCAGCGCTTGCATATCCGAGTTCTAGTACGCTCTGCGCGTCGTCGTCATCGTCTTCCTAGAAGGAGGGAGTAGTTCTACTGGGCTGAGCCGCTGGGCATGCTACGCGAGGACCCGCCCCTCCCTTCACCGTCCCTCGGCCCCCGCCAGGGAATCAGCGCCGCCCGACTCTCATTACACAGAAGCCCCGCAGCGCAACAGGTTGAATTTGAATTTTCTTCTCCTCATTCACGCACGCTCTACGTGGCGGTTTCATGCGTACCATGGAGAAATTTGAGAACCTGTAGGGAAAAAAGCTTTATCAAGTGCCTTCAGAACATAATTACCTACTTTCCCATGTTTGTTGATTTTTAGGGAATCATTACCCGAGTCAGGAATCTCCATGAGTAAATCAAAACTTTGTGAGTGCGTAATATACGGCCAACATTGAGTGAAAACGCTAAGAGCGGGTAATATTATAGTAATTGGAGCAGAAGGGCGAAAATTGGGGTTGAATGTAAACAAAGTCATCAGATATGATTGAAGAAATTAGTTAGTAATCAACCACATGATATTATGTAAAACATGGCTCCTTAAAAACTGAAAGAAAACATTAAATAACCGGCACGGAAACACGTTTGCGTAAAACAGAAGTAGTTTTAATATTTAATTGTACATTACTAATCCATGTAATTTTGTCCATCAGGTAAAATTGTATTTACAAAACTCCAAATAACAACGATAAAATTTAATACTTTGATTTTTCCTCCAAATTTAAATAACTCGATTTGTGGCTCCGGTGACAGCCGTCTTCCGACTATACCCTTAAAATAGATACATGTTATGGACATTAAAGAAATTGGTGTACAACAGTTCACGAAAACACATAAATCTGACAATCATTCCTACTTTCATGTCCAAATTATGTTGTAAAATTATTTCAAGTATTGTACAGAATAGGAAAAAGAAAAAACTCAACATTTAAGGAAAGTAACCTAGAGACCTAGAAATAAAAACATTACGCAACCACCGTCCACTGTTTAATATGATCACCCTTGTAGTGACGTTCTCTCGCCCAACTTGCGTTTAAATCTACAATGAAGAGTGAAATTATACTCTGAATTAATTTTATTCTGGATTAGATTCGAACCTTTATACAAATTTACCATTGACATTTGATTATTCAATGAACCTAAACATATTCAACACAACTGAACATTATACAATTACTATTTGCTTTACCCCGTTTTGAAGAATTCGGAGGTTTGTATGTCTGGAATACATTATAATCAAAGGTACCATCTGTGATCTCTTGTTGAGTCTTGCGATTTTTCATTGCATTCATTTTCTGAAATCATTCGTATTTCTTTTCTGTAGGAGGTTCTTATAATCGCACTCCATCATTCATCATAAGCTTTAACCCTACTCCACTCCTTTCTGTCTAACGCAATTCTCCCATAACCACTTGCCCATTTGATTCGTTTTCTACCTCTCTTTTACCAACCTCATATTTTATTCTCTTCAGAATTTCATAAAGTAGCCTAATATTCCATCTCATTTAGACTGTTCCCATTGTTGTTCTTCCAATCCCCATTTCCTGCACAGACTTCCTTCCTCACTCAGTATTCACTTGCTGTCAACAAAGTTACTACCCTCAGGATTATATACATTCGTCATGTATTTGTCTTAATTTTACTCTTTCCCCTTAGATAACGCAGAATGCAGCACATTTTTGTGTGCTTGTATTAGGGGTTGTATTTTAAATCTTATGTTTTTTCAAAACATTTTTTTAACCTCTTCTATGCATGTTTTCATATCCATACCATTCCCCGTCTAACCACTTACTCTGCTGCAAAACCTCTTCAGTTGTAATATCCCTTTTCCTCCAACTGTATTACCTTCTATCTCTTTTCCTAATATATTTCGAACATCCTTGGCAAACCGGCATTCCTCTCTCAATTTTGCTTTTCCTGAAAAATCTTCTTTATTCTCCCTGCCTATGGCCTTCTTTTAGTTTCTCTTTTGAACAAATTGCTATCTCTATTGCTATTGCTCGAATTCGAACCCTCAGATATATCTCAAAAATCTATCCTGAATAGCTTCAATATTTCTTTGCTTTCTCCGACCGCCACAATTAGTACAATATTATATTAATTTCAGATTGGTTTTGATAATAAAAACTTAATGTTAAAAGAAGAAAAAATATTATAATGACAGATTTTATTTTGAAAATCAACGATGTGCAATGGATTTACGTTAAGGTAAAAAAGATATTGGTACCGAACAGCACAATAACCAATCAAACAAAAAGCATCCAAATAGAATATACATTTAAATAATTTGCTTCTTGATATATGCATTCAAAATTCTTTCAAATTTAGTCTTAGAACAGTTCGTTGTGTATATTTTGTGAATGTTCATTCCCTCTTGATTTCCTCTTCCCAGGCAGTTATCGTACACAAGACACAGCTGCTGTTACAAAAGGAAATGTTTTTAGGAAAGCTGTATGGCCTCAGGAGAGAAATTCCTCCTGTATATTGCCATTCTTTGTCGCCTGTTTGAATCAACACTGGGTGCCCACACGCGCTTGAGTCATGTCCATCTCAAGTCCATGGACTTAAGACACAATGTAATCTCATCTCACAGTGTGAAAACACCTTGGGTTGG